ATGATTGGGACCTAGTATTACAGCCATTTTATTCTATGAATTTGTCAACAGTCCTAGGATTGAATGTTGATGTGGAGCGTCAGAAGCGGCACAGGCTGATTGAGGAGAGGGAAGGGCTGGGGTGGTGGTGTCAGACTTCCGGGACACTGAGATGGGAGGAGCCCTGAGGGCTGGCCCAGTTTTCCCTGCTGCTTCTAAGCCAGAGGTTTTTTGTTGTTGCTTTTTGGCACTCGGGATCGAACTCATGACTGCGTGCTTGCAAGGCAGGCACTTATGCCACTGAGCTAAATCCGCAGCATCCCTGCTGCTTCTAAACAGACTTATTTCTCTCTGAAATCTCTGTGTTCTGCAGTGTCAGACCCCATTATTGTGTTCACTACATCATTTTTTCTCTTTTCACTTTAGATTTCCCTTCTCCAAAATATGGCAGTAGGATGTGTTACACCTCGTCTTGTTCCTTTGTCTTCAGGAGCGGAGTTTCTTGCCAACTGCCTTCCTCATGGGACTTCTCAGGTCACCTTGAGGGCAAGGCAAGTATTTGTAGTAAAAGTCCCTGTAGTAAACTCTTTCCTCCCTTGTCCCTTCATGTATAAGATGGCATTGTTACATGTTACAGTCATTTATATCCATTATGGCTTGTGTCTTGTGTGCCCCAAAGCCCTAAGCACTCATGGGGCTTCCAGGAGGTGACTGGATCATGGGTATGCAATCCTGGATTAGTCCATTGATTGATTTAGCACAGTTCTGGGTAAAGATGATGGGTTTACTGAAGAGGGAAGACCTGGACTGGGTTTGGGTGGTGCCAACTAATAGGCTTATAATCGTGGTGGAATTTAAAGGGAAACAAGAAGGAAGGCTCGAGGCTTCCTGCTTGTCCTGCCACGGACTGCTGCTCTCCGGCCTCAGAGCCTGCTGACTGCGGAACCTCTAAACCTGAGCTAAATAAACCTTACCTTTCACTTTTGAGCATTAGGTATTTTGTCCCAGCAATGAGAAATAACGAAGAATAACCTTTAAATACACAAGCCTGTGTTTAAATATTTTGTGTTTCCTAGTTTTTAACAGGAAAAGGATATAATCGTGGGTTTAGGAAGAGGAAGAATCTCAGCCAGGGCTGACTACAAGGTAGAAACAGGGAATTGGTTTTTCCAGAGGCAAGATTTGGTAGGTGGGTAGCTGGTGGTATAGATGTTACAGTCTAAAGAATTGTAATTGGGTCATGGAACATTTTGAGATTTGCATGTATGAAAGGGGCAGCTGTTCAAAAGAATTTAAATTCATTGATCTACTTCAGATTTGTAGGCCTCTCAAAGAAGAGTGAGCTTCACATAGGGTTCCAGTATGCGAAGCGGGATATCATTTGGGACTTTTCTTCCATAACATTAAAAGTGATAGTCTGTCTCTAGAACAGTTATTTGAGTTCATTCCATATACTTCATTTGGTTTCTATTCCATTGTGCACAATACTGATAAAATTGATTGTTTTTGTTGAGTTGTAAGACTTCTATATTTTGCATATCAGCCCCAGATCAATGATTTGCAGTTATTTTCTCCCATTTCATAGATTACATTTTCACTCTGCTGGTGTCCTTTTCATGCACAGGAGCTTATATTTTGATACAATTCAATTAATCTACCTTTTAACTTTTGTTACTTGTACTAGTGGTATGAGAAGTCGTTGCCAACTTCATTGCCCTGAAACTTTCCCCTTATATTTGCTTCCTAAGAGTTTTACAGTTTTGAGTCTTTCAGGTCTTTGTCCCTTTTGTAAAAATTCTCACATGTGGTGTAAGGTAAGGCTTAACTTTTGTTCTTTTGCTGCTGGGTATCCAATTTTTCCTGGTGCCATTTTGTGGTAGTCAGGGTTTACAGGGGAACAGATTTAATGTGGGACACCAATTTATAGGATTTTTTTTTTTTTTGTCTTTTTCCTTTTGCAAGGCAGGCGCTTATGCCGCTGAGCTAAATCCCCAGCCCCTATAGGATTATTTTATAGTACTCACATCTGTCCTTACCTTGGAGACCTACAGGATCCAGCTGAGAGCATGGAGCCCACAGTCAAGTCTCACACAAATCTCTGTCGTGGATCTGCTCTGGGAAGGCCCAAAGGTCAGTAGTGGAAGACAGAAAGAGGTCATCTGTGTCAGCAGGCTGAGAGCTCTGCACTGAGCTAAGAAGCAACACTCAAGGTAAGGACCAGAGCTCCCCTGAAAAGAACACATTTGTGACAGTGTGGACCCAGGCTCCTCAGATGATGAAGGGAGCTGAGTTTTCATATCAGAAAAGCTAGCATGACAAACAGCTTACCATCTTTCCTTCCAGTTCTCCTTTTATGCTGTTGACAGCAATCCTCAGGTGGGCTTTCCACATCCAGCACCACGCTGATTGAGTTCAGCTGAGTGTTTCGAGTTGACCGTTAGTTCACCACACATTCACTGAACAGCTTCTTTCTCTGTTCATTGTCTTACCTCTCAGCAAAAATATTTGATCTTGAAGTTCTCTCAGAAGGAAAAAAAAACAGAAAAAAAATATTTGATCATTTTCTCCAGCTGACATCATTAGTATACAGTGGGAATGGAGATAGAGTAAAGAAAATGCAGACACAGAAGTTATTTTGATCATGCGTGGAGAGTTCATTTCTGAGTACACTGGGTTTCACTGATCTATGTTTGTCTTTATGCCCCTTTCACAATATTTTAATCAATGTGGCTTTTTATGATTTTTGAATTCAGGGCATGTAAGACGTAGTTCTTTTTCCACATCATTTAGTTATGCATTATCCCTTGATTTTATGAATTTCAGGATATATTTTTGTAAAGAGTGCTCTTGAGATTGTGATAAAGATGGCTTTAAATCTGTGTTACTTTCAGTCTTACTGACATAGCATGGGATATTTTTCTGTTTATATCACCTTTAATTTCATTCAGCATTTTATAGTTTTCTGATTATAATTCTGTTACCTCCTTAATAAGTTTAATTTACTATTTCTTTAATTTTTATCCATTAGCTGTAATAGAACTGTTATTGGTAGACATTATAATTGAGTGTCCTAATGTAAAATGAATTGCTTTTAGCCGGCCATGGTGGGTCATGCCTTGTAATTCCAGCACTCGAGGCTGAAGCAAGAGGATCACCATGAGTTCAAGGTTGGCCTGGGCTACATAAGTGAGTTCAAAACCAGCATGCATAGGGGGCTGGGGTTTAGCTCAGTGGCATAAGTGCCTGCCTTGCAAGCAGACAGTCATGAGTTCAATCCCTGGTACTGATAAAAAAGAAAAAAAAAATTTAAAAAAACCCAGCATGCACTACATAGTGAGATGTGAGATCCTGTCTCCAAAAATAAATAAGAATTACTTTTACTATTTATAATTAAGTAATATGGTTGCTGGAGAGTTTTTTTTTCCCCCAAATAACTTGTTTCTTTTCTTTTCTTTTTTTTTAAAACCTTCTTTATAAAATAAAACGTAAATTGAAGCTGGGAATGTTGGCAGTGTGCCTGTTTGAGTTTGAGTCTAGGCTGGGCAACTAAGTTGCTTAGTGATATCCTGTTTCAAAATAGAGAGTGGGGAGGAAGGGGAGGAAAGAGCAGGTGAGACAAAGAGAAAGGAAGTAGGAAGGAGGAGATGAAAGATGTACAATTCCTCTGGGTTCATTCCCCAATCAATTCCTTAATAAAGTTTTTTTTAATTTGATTTTATCTTTTTTTTTTTTTTTTTGGTAGTATTGGGGTTGAGCCAGGATACTTGTCTCTTCCGGCCTTTTTAAATTTATTTGGAGACATGTGGTCTCAATGGTCTCACTAAGTTGCTAAGTTGCCCTGGCTGGGCTTGAACTCAAGATTCTTCTTTTTCAGCTTTACACTGTGCTGTGATTATAGGTGTTATACCTGTTCTTTCTGTGGCAATAAAGTTTCTCTTTTATTTTGTTAATGTGATTTTAATGAATATATTTACTAATATTAGGCCAGCTTTGAATTCTGAAAAGAACTGGTCATTGTATATATTTTTTCAAATATAGTGAATTTGGGTAGAGTAGTTTTTTTTGACATTTTTATCCAATGAGTTTGTACATTAACTTTTTATTTCTGGGGAAAACACGATACATGAGATTAGCATATATGTATCTTGGATATGTTACAGGATTTGTCTGTAAAGCCATCTTTTCTGAGTGTTTTGTGCAAAGCATTTATAGAACTGATAGAATTTTTTTACAAAAATGATTATAAGTCAGGTTTTATATTTCTTCTGGAACCAATTTTGGTAAGATGTGAAAGTTGTTTATATATTTTTAAAATTGCTTTAAATTTCTAGTCTTCATTTTTACCTCCCCTTTACATTTTAATGATATTTTCCTTTTTTCTTTATTTCTTACAAGTTTGTTGTCTTAGTTACTTTTTACTCGTTGCTGAGACAAAATACCTGAAGCCCAAGTTGGGAAAGGAATGGTTTATTTTTTACAGTTTTTGGAGGTTTCAGTCCACACTCAGTTGGCTCCAAGGCAGGCGGGCATGGCTGGGCCGCTGTTCATGGCAGCTTCAAACAGTAAGCAGGAACCAGCAAAGAGCAAGACACACCTTCTTCTTGCCATTACATCACATCCTGGCTCCACCCTTTTGTGGGTGGAGCACTGACACCATCAATCCAAGCACTAGACAATGAATGAATGACAGATGCACAATGCAAACTCCTGAGTCCTTAGGGCCACAGACATAAACCATGACATTCCACCCCTGGCCCCCAAGACTCATGTACATCCTTTATACCAAAGATATTTAGCCCACCTCCAAGAGTTGTCAAAGTCCTAACAGCTTCAGCATTGCTGAAAAGCCCAAATCCCAAGTCTCCTCCAAGATCTATGGCAAACTCTTGACTGTAACCCCCTGTACAAATGAAACAAGGTTAAACAAGGTTAAACATTTCTGAAATGCAAGGCACAACATAAACATTACCATTCCAAAAGTTACAAGCAGGGGCATATAAAACATTGGAAACAAAGCAAGTCCAGCATCCAGCAGGGCAAACATTAAGTCCCAGAGTTCCATGCTCAGCATCTAAAGCAGTCTGGTTGCAAGCTCCAAAAGGCTTGGGTGATTCCACCCCCAGGGCACTTCCAGTGATTTCAACTCCCACAGCTTTTCTCTTAAATCCTCTCTGCTTGCTTTTTACAGCTTTCCTTGGATCATCCATGTTCCTGGCTTTTCCAAAATTCTGGGGTCTCCACTGCATCTTTGGCTTCATCTTTACATCTTCACAAATTGTCCTCTCAGGGACACACTGCTTGGCCTGCCAGGCCCTTTGCAATCGAGGTGGAAGCTGTCTGACCCTCAGAATTTGTGCATTTTCCTTGTACCTAAAATCAGCACGTTGTGGATGCCGCCAAGGTCTGCTGCCAGCTGACCTCTCTATTTCCCACCAACAATCAAAATCTCAACTCTGTCTTTACAATCCACAGCCTTCCTGGAATTTTCCTTCTGGCCAAACTCACAGCATTGTAAATTATCCTCTGGGCTCTTTGCTCTTGATTTGAAACATAAAGCTGGCTGAAAGCCCCCAACAATAGCCATGCCATGGCCAATGTTCAATTGCTTTTTAATTTCTTTTTCAAGATTAATCAGTCCATTGCCCTTTGTCTCAGTCTCAGGCAAAGTCTCTAGGCAGGAGCAAAATGCAGACAAACTTTCTGCATTACACACACCATGTGGAGTCCAACAACCAATGCAGTCCTTCTTCCCAGCAGAAACCTCCCAAGCCTGGTCTTTACCATCAGGCTTTCTATCAGCCTTCTGATCTCTGGAGCTCTGACCAGAATCTCCTTTACAGAACAGCCTAAGCTGCTCCAGCTCTATGCATCCAGACAACATGTCCGAACCTTTCCAAACTCTGCCCACAAGCCATTTCCAAAGCCTCTTCAAAAACATGGTCAGCTATAGTTACAGCAAACGACCCCACTCTCGGTGCCAAATTCTGTCTTAGTTACTTTTTACTCGTTGCTGAGACAAAATACCTGAAGCCCAAGTTGGGAAAGGAAAGGTTTGTTTTTTACAGTTTTTGGAGGTTTCAGTCCACACTCAGTTGGCTCCGAGGCAGGCGCAGTTCATGGCGGCTGCAAACAGGGAGCAGGAACCAGCAAAGAGCAAGACACACCTTCTTCTTGCCATTACATCACATCCTGGCTCCACCCTTTTGTGGGTGGAGCACTGACACCATCAATCCAAGCACTAGACAATGAATGAATGACAGATGCACAATTCAAACTCCTGAGTCCTTAGGGCCACAGACATAAACCATGACATTTGTCAATTCTGTATTTTCAAATATTTTATTTGGCCTATTTGCTTGCATTCTTTTCTTTTCTTTTTTTGGGATGATCCCATTAGGTAGCATTGGCTGGTCTCAAATGCTGTTATGTAGCCAAGACTGGACTTGAGCTCATAGTGATCCTCTTGCTCAGCCTCCCAAATGCTGGCATTAGAGGTATGCACCACCATGCCAAGTGGTTTCAATGTTTAATTCCTGCTTTTAGTTTCTTTCATATATGCTTTTTGGGTTTATTCTGATGTTTGTTTTCTCTGCCTCCTTTTCCAGCAATTTGTGTCTTATTAACATCTAGCCCGTCTTCCTTTATAATTCAAACATTTAAGGTGTCAGTTACTCTCTGAGGGCCAATTGAGTTGCTGTTACTATACCACAAAGCTATAGTCACTATAACTTTGAAATGTAATATTTTATTATCCAATATTTTCTGTTTTTGAAAATATACTGTAACTTTGATATCCAGGTTATATGAAAATTTGTCTTATTTCCAAATGTGTTGGGATTTTTAGTGTTCTCTTTCAAAAAAAACTGATATGTGATTTAATTGTTTGCAAGGTTTATTTCCTTACCAAGCTTTTGTATATGTATTCAGACCTCCCCCATAACATAGTCATTGCTTTAAATGTTGTGTTGACCAGTTTTGAGGCCCCGGCTTGAGGCTGCTAATCTACGCCCCAATCTCTTACTTATGAGGTCTCATACTTAGGGCCAGCAGCTCTAAAAACAAGGCCAGATAGCATGTAATTAGGTGTACTCCTGTTCTCTGAGCCCTCCAAATCTATTCAAGGTATCACTGGCACTTGGAACTTACCATGCAGTGCAGCTACACTGTTTCCTTACCTTGTCCCTGTGTACAGACAACCCTTTGTGACCGTGCATATTTCCCAGGTTGAGCGTGGATGCGTAACCACTGCGGTGTGGCAGTGGAGTCCTGTGGGCCCCTCTTGAAGGCTGCAAGGCAGCAGGTATCTGTCCCGTTTTTGGAAATGCTGGTCCCTGTGGGCCACTTTAGTGCCTTTAGCCTGGAGAATTGACCTTCATGTCTCTCTTTGGTATTGAAATAAGGCTTTACATGTACACCAGGGGTCGCTGCAGTCCTGTGTTAAGACTCTAGGTCAGTGCTGTGCTCCTTACCAACGTTCTGGGCAGAGTTTGCACTGAGTCTTCTGAGGTGGGGGATGGGGTGAGGCTGTAGAGTTCAGTCCTCTCTGCTCATATTGCGAAGTGAAGTCCCGTGGCACCTTACATCTATGACCATGTCAGGAGTCTGGGGATTGGCCCCAGCTGAATCTCCACTAGTGATACTTTGGGCATAAAAATCTGGGTTCTTATTTTTTCATGTGTGAAATGTATGTTGCTATATAAACTGAACCTTTTTGGGGGATATGGGTTTTTGCTTTTTAATTTAGTTTTGAGATCTTCCCAGTAATGGGTGTTGAACTTAGTGCTTTTGCACTGAGTTATATCCTCAGGGCTTTTGAACCGAGCTATAGCCTCAACTGTTTAAAACTTTTTTTTTTTTTTTTTTTAATTGTGAGACAGGGTCTTCCTGAGTTGCCCAAGCTAGGCTTGAACTTTCAATTTTCCTGCCTCCGTCTGCCAAACTTCTGGAATTACAGGTGTGCACCACCATATATAGCTGACCCTTGCTTTTGGATTAAACACTGAGTAGGATGCTGAGTGTGTCTCATCCTGTATTTCTTGGAATCCCAGTGATGGCCAAGGGCTTAACTCTGAAGAAGCAGATTTCCCCTATTTATTATCTTATTCATCCTACTAATTCTCACTGCTGTTGCCACTGATGGACAGCTACATGTATCAGGCACTGTGCTAAGTGCTTTACAAACATTAGGTCATTTAATCAGATCTCATTCATTCAGAGAACATCAGACCTCTTCAGAGCCCTTGCCAACCTGATCCCAAACACAAGGGACATTTTTACTTGAAAAGAAATTCTTTTCTTCATTAAAAAGCCAACAAGTAATCTGTGTGTGTGCTGTGCTGGAGCTCGAACCCTGGGCCTCTCACATGCTCATCAAGTATAGTGCCGCTGAGCTACACCCCCAGATCCCAGTAAATACATTTTTAGGAAATAAAAAAGGGTTTAAAAAAAACATTTTCTTCCTTATGTTCTTCTTTTCTTCTGCCTCCACAAGAAAAAATCAAATGTTCTGTTTTGAGAAATGAGTCACTGTTTTTTTTGCTTCCTACTTTTTATCAAAAACCCCACTTGAGCTCAGCAGAGCCATGTGAGGGACCTCACTGTGCTCACAGGAAGCCGTGCTCCTTCAAAGGCACCTGTACTTCTCGAGTGAGTGTCACACTGCCTCTCAGATCCTCCTAGCACTACCTTAGTAAAGCCAGGTGAGTGGGGATAGGGCCGTGCATGGGGAGAGCAGTGTGGGCCGAAGGTGACTGTGGGGTACAGAGGCCGGGATGCCTGGGCATCTTGGTCACATTGCTGCGCGCAGGTGGCAGCTTGCTTGGAGCTCCCACGCCCTGCCTGACCCGCGCTGTGGAGCCCTCATCCGATGGGCACCTGGACATGTAGGGCTGGTTCTTCTCCTTCCTGCATGCACAGCTGTCATGAGTCCACACATCCTGGAGAAACAGGTAACTTCATCAAAGCTCAAATGTTTTTGTCTGTTGCTTCTCTCACAACTCTTGAGCCAAGAAACTACACACACACACACACACACACACACACACACACACACACAACTGCACACATTTGGCAAGGGTCTTCCTTGCGACTTCCCTCTTATTTTTGCCTTTAATTTTCACTGATAGCCGGGGGTTTAGCTCAGTGGTGTAAGTGCCTGATTGGCAAACACGAGGTCATGAGTTTGATCCCCGGTACCAAAAAAAAAAAAAAAAAATTAACTGATAAAATGATGAAGAAAGAATACACCTCTTTCTCATTTAATAAGCTTCATTGGAGACCTGCCATGTACCAGGTCTTTAGCATCCATTCTCAAGAATAAGCCAGAATCTCTCTCTTAGGAAGCACAACCTGGGCATTTAGGCTGTGTGGGAAGGATGGGGGAGGTGCTGGTGATGACTGGCACAGGTGAAAGGTTTTAACAAGGAATGTCACCATGCCATCAGAGGAGGCCTGGAGTCTGATGGCTCTTGCCCCCTGAATGGCTCTAGTACAAGGGTGAGCATGTGTGTAACTTTCAGGTTTTAATGTCTTTATCTGCCTCGTGTGTATGTGTTCTCCATAGTATGTATTGAATCCTGGGGTTAACACATACAGATAGGCAAGTTCTCTACCAGTGAACTACAGCCCCAGTGCTTCTCATTCTGTTTTACAGAGATTTCACTAAGTTGCTTGGGCTGATCCAGAATTTGTGATCCTTCTGCCTCAGCCTCCCAAATAGCTGGGATTATAGACATACCCCAGTGTTCCTGGCTTAGCCCCCAGTTTAGATAGAAAATGAATGCTGGGCATGGTGATGTACCCCTTAATCCCAGTACTCAAGAGGCTGAGGCAGGAGAGTTGCTGAGAGTTTGAAGCCAACTTGGCCCACATAGTTCATGCCAGCCTGAACTACATAGACCTCTCTCAAAAAACAACAACAACAAAAAAAACAAACAAGCAGAAAAATATGATTGGGGAGATGGAGATTTTCTTTTTTGGCCGTGTCTTTTCAAGATTTATCAGGATTTTTTTTTTTTTAAAAATCAGGATTTTTAAAAAAAAGTTTTATAACCAAAGAATTTTCTGGTTTGTACTATTACAGGGTTGGCTGCATTGGACTGTTTTTTTGTTTGTCTGTCTGGTTTAAATATGTTTTGAAGAAAAAACCAGGAAGTTCTCTCAAGACACCTGAGGACTGTAACCTCCTTGAAAGGCTTTATAACCCAGTGGCCATACCAGGATAATGTGGCTCAGGACTGGCCACACGTTCCCAGGAGCCTGCGAGTGTGGTCCCTCCCTAGATGTGCTCTGGAGTGAATGGAGACACAGCAGGAAGGTGACAGCGCTGGCTTACACCAGCTCCTAAGAGCAGATTATTACATGCAAACGGTATAAACCAGTGTTTCCCCACCATTATTCCTAGACCCTATTTACTAGCTCATAACTATGACTTGGGGTTCAACTTGGTTCAAGCAGCAAGTTCTTTTTTTTTTTTATCGGTACCAGGGATCGAACTCACGACTGTCTGCTTGCAAGGCAGGTGCTTTATGCTGCTGAGCTAAATCCCCAGCCCCCAAGTAGCAAGTTCTACATAAAAGTGTTTTAGTCTTTGGATGTCACTGAGCTCTCAGGGTCAGGAGTGAGATGGTAAACCCAGGACCTCTACACTGAGCTACATAGCTAATTGCTCCCCTCCCCACTTTTTTGAGACAGGGTCTCACTGTGGTTCTGGCTGACCTTGAACTCACTATGTAACTTAGGCTGGCCTCGAAATCTGCAGTCCTCCTGCTTCAGCCCCTGAGTGCTGGGATTGCAAGTGTGTACCACCATGCCTGGCACCAATGCCCCTTTCAAAAGAGAAAAAGTGAAGTGGTCTCTTTAAGTTGATCAGGTTGCATTTCATTTAACAGAGTTTTAAAAGTCTTCTTGAGCTCAGCGATGATCATGGTATCCTACTTTGTCAATTTTGAAGTACTGCTTTCTCCAGGAATCTAGACAAATTTTTATGTGCTCTGATTTGGTTATGCTTACTTAAGCTATAAGAATTCTGTAGGGGATGATATTTTAATGTACAATTGGTGAATGTGCTTTGAAATCTATATAAATCATGCAAAAGGAACTAGTTTTTATGTAAAGGCAGGTGACTAACCTGGTTTATTTATAGTAGAATAAGATTACCTAAAACCTGAGGTGGAATTTTTTTTTTCCAGTATAGGAGTTTTGTTTTTGTTTTGTGTTTGCCAGGCAGGCACTTCTACTGCTGAGCTAAATCCCTAGAAAAAATATGGACCACTTCACAAATTTGCATGTCATCCTTGTGAAGGGATCATGCTAATCTTCTCCGTATCATTCTAATTTTAGTATATGTGCTATGGAAGAGAGCACTGTTAAGTGCATATGTATGTCCTGGGACTTATTTTGCTTTATTTTATTTTATTTAGTTTTGGTACCACGAATCAAACTCATGACCTCATGCTTACCAGGCAGGCGCTTATGTTGCTGAGCTAAATCTCTGTCTTTTAAAAAAAATTTTTCCAAATACTGGAATCCAACTTATGACCTTGCATTCACCAGGGCAGGCACCATACTACTGAGCTGTATCTGTGGCCCAGTGCTAGGGACTGAACCCAGAGTCATGTGTGTGCTAAGCTCATGTTCTACCTCTAAGATATATCCCCAACCCCAAGTATATATTCAGCATGAGAAAGGACAGGATATGCATTGCTATTGGGAACATGCACTGATGTCATCCCTGAAACTGCGTTTATAACTCTAGACTATATAATGTTTTAGAAACACATTCTTAGCTATGTATGCATGTAATCCCAGCACTTGGTAAGGTGAGGCAGGAGGATCACTGTGAGTTTGAGGCCAACCCTGGTTACATAGTGAGTTTAAGGTTAACCTGAGTTACATAGACAAAACTTGTCTTAGAAAATGAAGTCCAAAAAACCCCAACATTCCAAAATGCTCCCCCCGAAAAAGGTGTATTTTTGCTATCCTCACCTACAAATAATTGAGAACTGAAATTCCAGCAGAAGGGTAAGAGGATAAGTGAGTGGCAGAGTTGAGATGCAAGCCCAGGCCAGCTGGCTGCAGGGTTCTTTCCTGTGGCTGCCTAGCCAACGTATATTACAGATGGTATCAGGGACTGAACTCACGACCTCACGCTTGCCAGGCAGGTGCTTATGAGCTGAACTCCTAGCCCTACACATTATATTTTTATGTGTATTATATATATTATTATATAGACTTCAGATATTATAAATAATATATAGCATACATAATAAATAAATGACCTAAGGCTAAACAGCCTGCAGCTGCCGTCTGCATCTCGTATGTTTTGATACTTGTTCCTAACGGAGTTTTGCTTGCTTTCCTCATTAGCCTCTTCTGCTCACACCTAAACCAGCCTCATGGAGCCTGTAGATTTAAAAATGAACCCCACTGACACAGCAGACACCACTATGGACGGAAGCATCTATAGCAATTACTACAACTATGAAAGCAGTGTGCCTGGGCCTTGCACCAAAACAGGCGTCAAGGCTTTTGGAGAGCTCTTCCTCCCCCCTCTTTACTCCTTGGTTTTTCTATTTGGTCTGCTTGGGAATTCTGTGGTGGTTCTGGTCCTCTTCAAGTACAAGCGGCTCAGATCCATGACCGACGTGTACCTGCTCAACCTGGCTATCTCGGATCTGCTCTTTGTGCTCTCTCTCCCGTTCTGGGGCTACTATGCTGCAGACCAGTGGGTCTTCGGGCTAGGTGTGTGCAAGATGATTTCATGGATATACCTGGTGGGCTTTTACAGCGGCATCTTCTTCATTGTGCTCATGAGCATCGACAGGTACCTGGCCATTGTGCATGGGGTGTTTTCGATGAGGGTGAGGACCTTTACGTATGGGGTCATCACCAGCTTGGCTACATGGGCAGTGGCAGTGTTTGCCTCTCTTCCTGGCCTACTGTTCAGCACTTGTTACACTGAGCGCAACCACACCTCCTGCAAAACCAGGTACTCTGCAAACTCCACCACATGGAAAGTTCTGAGCTCTCTGGAGATCAACATTCTAGGACTGGTGATCCCCTTGGGGATCATGCTGTTCTGCTACTCCATGATCATCAGGACTTTGCAGCACTGTAAAAGCAAGAAGAAAAACAAAGCAGTGAAGATGATCTTTGCTGTGGTGGTCCTTTTCCTGGGCTTCTGGACACCTTACAACATTGTGCTCTTCCTGTACACTCTGGTGGAGCTGGAAGTCCTTCAGGACTGCTCCTTGGAAAAATACCTAGACTTTGCTCTCCAGGCCACAGAAACCCTGGCTTTCATTCATTGCTGCCTTAATCCGATCATCTACTTTTTTCTGGGGGAGAAATTTCGCAAGTATATTGTGCAGCTCTTCAAAACCTGCAGGGGCCCATTTGCACCCTGCCAATACTGTGCACTCCTCCGGATTTACTCTGCTGACACGTCCAGCTCCTCTTACACGCAGTCTACCATGGATCATGATCTCCATGATGGTTTGTAAAACATGAAAATGCAAAGCACGAAGTTAATGAGCTTCCTATATTTAGAGCTTCCTTAAAATTGTGTTCTAGTAATATCCTGAGCAAGGCTGGCATTAACACCCAGTGTGGGCTTCTCAACCCGCAGTAATCTTTTCCTCTTCTGAGTTCAGTCCCATAAGGATTCATCTCACCCCAGGCCTGCCTTCAGGGAAACAAAACTCTGAAGAGAATGCTAAGTGGTTTCGATGAAGAGAAGGAAAACACTGAAAGAGAGACTCCTCCCTCTAACCCTAGCCAAAAGGGCTCTCCAGGAGGAAATGGACCCTGAAATTTCTAGCTTTTGTGAAACAATGTAGAGAACTTTGGCATGCTGTCCTAGAGTTTTTCTAATAGTATATCTGAAGCATGGCATATTCTGTGAAACCAGATACATATAAAAACCATTCATGAAATCATGAATCTGTATCTTGATCCTTTTATTGTGAAGGATCATTTATTAATTGAACTATATCTGCTGGTTACAAGTGTAAGGATACAGTAATATTACTGTGGACTGATTTCCAAGTGTAAATTTTAAGGCATTTAAGATCCAAACACATTGTTGAAACTCAAACATAATTCCATTTTCATGTGGACATGTTTTAGTTATCAAGGTGAATATTCAACCTTAAAAATAAATAAGGGGCCTAAGAGTATCGCTAAGTAACAGAGCACTTGAGGTCCATGGTTTTGTCTCCAGCACCACAAAAGAATACGTAGGCTTAGAATATATTTATCTAAGGCTTTTCTTCTTTACAAATATAGTCTTCAAAATTAAAGATAAGGCATACTAATACTAACAAAGTGAAATACCTCCCTAATCATTTTGAAGTAGAATCCATCAATTAAGGTAAGATTAAGAATAATCAACTAAAAGTTATTGCTGATGTGGCTTAAAAATGACTGCTCCAATCATGACATTATATATATTTCCTTGTCCCTCCAAAGCCAAAACTCTTCTTGCTAGCAAATGAGTAAAAATGCGTCTGTTAAACTTACATATTACTGCATGCTCTTTAATTACAAGGAATGCAGTTCCAGAAAATTTACTTTGAAAAAAGCAGGTTTGTTTTGTTTTGTTTTGTTTTCTGAGATAGGGTTTTAGTATGCAGTTCAGGATGGCCTTGAGCTCATTTTGTAGCCCAGGCTGTCCTTGAACTCTCAGTGATCTTTCTGCCTCAGCCTCCTGAGTGCTGGGATTACAGGCATGTGCCACCACACCTCACTTAAAAATCGGTTTTAAAAGAGAAAGTTACTATTACCTTCATAGAAAATAAAATGACCTTGTATATAGTCCCACAGAACTGCCTTTTCTTCTGATCATGTTTGTGTTTGAATTCATAACGTGGAAGAGTCAAAGCTGTTCATTTGTCCGCTGCTTTGTCACATGTTGTAGATGTGGTGGATTTACCCAAGGAGAGGAATCAAAGGATTTGCTCTAAATGGTTCACATGGTTAGTGTCACTAAAGTTGGTATACAACCCCCCCCACTGCTAAATTTGACTGGCTTAAAAAAAATAAAAATTTTAAAAAATGGTTCACATGGGGTAGAACAAGGACTCACTGTCATGCTAAGAGTCCATGGGCAGTGTTTCCTGAGAAAACCTCTGCATGATATCCTGTGATCTCCCAAATCCTAGCTGTGTTCTTTGTAAGCCGGAGTATGTTAACTTTGCTCTTATCCATGGTCTCATCATCTGTAAAAGGGAATATATAGCAGAGTGATTGAAATAAATAAATAAATAAATAATGCACAGTGTCTATGTTCTCAGGTCCAAGAGAAGATGGGCTCTAGAATTGCTCAGCTAGAGGCTGCCTTTCCTTTCCTGAGAGAGTTTGTCATTTTGTTCATTTAATCATGGTGACTAGTAACAGGGCACCAAGAGACAGAGCCTGGCCACGGGGTTTCCGTTCCCTCACTCTCTGGCACAGACAGCTCTAAGGTGTGATGAGGCGTGGGCGGCTGGCTCCCATTCCTCCACCCCAGGCCGAGGCCTTGTCATGGCCTCAGCTCCTCAGCCTTGCCCTTGTTCCAGAGTTGGGCAGTGTGCCCTCAGCGCAGGGATCAAGAACCTCTGGTAACATACAGATATCACCTTCTCAGAATGCAAAAAGATGTTTCTTCCCTTGTGGTGGCACAGCTGTAGAAAACAAGCCAGTAGGATTTCTGCACAAAGGTGGGTTTGATGATGCTGTCAGACATTAGAGCCATCTCTTCCTTGTCACCCTGCCAGCCTCTGGAGAACACAGAGCAGGTGTGATTTGCATAAAAGCAACAGAAATTCATTCGCTTGTAAATGATGAAAATGTTTTGGAACAGGATTGCTAAAAGTGATGGCTATAAGATATTGTGCACGAAATACTGCTGATTATGCATCACGATGATTACTTTTATGTGGTTTTAAAAACAACAGAAAGAGGTCAGGCATGGTAGCACAGGTCTTATAATCCTAGCACTTGGAAGGCTGAGGCAAGATGACTGATGAGTTCAAGACCAGCTTAGACAATGTAGTGAGTTTAAGGCCAGCCTGAACTACAGAGTGAGATCTTGTTTCAGAAAACAAAACAACAAAAAAGAACAATTAAAAATAACCCCACCAATAGGTGCTCATTATAGCTCTAATAGGGAATTGAGGGATATTCAGCTCCTTATGAAGACTTTTTTCCCAGAACAAACTATCAGCATTTTGGAACTACTTGATACAGTTAATTTTGACCTCTTGAATGCCTGTTTTGTTGAGATGATAGAATAAAAGGATAAAAGAGTAAGTTCTGGGCTGGCGATTTAGCTCAGTGGCATAAGCGCCTGCCTTTCAAGCACACAGTCATAGAGATCAATCCCTGGTACCAAAAAAGAGTAAGTTCTGCACTTTTTGAGTTGTGCAGTCTAGTAAAGGAAAACACAGATTAACCACAGTCCAGGCTAGACATATATAACAGTCACAATAAGAATCTGGGGGAAAGACTGCACTGCATGCTTTCCTAACAGCCTTCGCTTTAGAAGTAGACAGTAGTAGCAGCAGCAGGCTTTTCACAGAAGGAGCACTGGGGGGACTTTGGGCTGGTGCAGTAGTGTGTGGAGAGGTAGAGTAGTGCTGAGCAGCTGTGTGTTCAGGAAGAAGCAAGTACATTTTTCTGCATTTACCGTACATGTGTGGGAGTGGGGAACAGGGGCAAAGCAGGGAAGATGCAACCAAAGAAAACAACCATCAGCGGTTCTGATGACCTCTAGAGGAGAGGTGGCAGATGCTGTGCTGCACACCCCTCACCTAGTCAGGAATTGCTCTGCTCCCCATCAAGACTGACAACTGCCAGCGTCTCCTGAAGAAACTCCTTCCTGGGAGCAGTCCTGCCCAGAGATGGAGAGCAAAGGGAGACGGGGAAGGGCCCCCTCGCCTAGGTTTGGGACAACTGTGGGGCCACTGTGACTGGCTGGGGCCTCTGCTACAGTGACACCGCAGCTCCACTTTCCTTACTGCCTGCTCTGCTTCTTTTATACCCTCACGGGATCCCCAAAGGACTCTGCACTATGTCGTGCTCGTGTCACAGCCTGTACTTGGCCAGTGGCTGCCCCATTCCAGCCTTTCTCAGCTCACTCATTTTGTACTCATGATAGTTTATTCACAAGAAGGTTACGATGATTCCAAAATCTCCTTTTCAGAAAAGTGGAAATCCACTGAGTTGCCAGGCATGGTTGGCACATCCCTGTGATCCCAGAATTCTGGCAGACTGAGGCAGAAAGATTGTAAGTTCAAGGCAATTAGCAGCTTGAGACCCTGTCTCAAAAACTACAAAATGAGCTGAAGATTCAGCTCAGTATGAAGAATCAAAAAGCCACCAAGTAGTTTTGTATACTGAAACATTTTAGCCACTTTTTAAATAGATAGTGGTTGATTATGTCACTCCAAGCAATTGAGGTTCTGGGGAAGCAACATTCTAATAACGAATTGGGCTGAGGCTACCAACAGTAACTACCACCTAACTATAGAGAAAAATGCTGGACACAAAGCAGCTCAGTTAGTTTTTACTGAGTTTCTTATGAGTTTCAATTAGTTTTACTGAGTTTCTTTACACTGTGGCAAGTTTCTGTTTAACTATACAAAATTTACTAGTTCTAGTTCCAAAATCTCCAACTGTCTTACTGTCTTTCTAATAAAACTTGGTGACTTGGGGCTGGGAATTTAGCTCAGTGGCATAAGCACCTGCCTTGCAAGTGTGTAGTCGTGAGTTTGGTACCTGGTACCAAAAAAGACTAAAAAAAAAAAAAAAAACAAAAAAAACCTCGGTGACTGTAAGTTCAAAGTTGACTGAATTGTTCCAGACATAGTGGGTGGGTTCTGGGTCAAACATTACTTCATTTAGGCTTTTAGTATGAACGTAATTACAAAAGAAACTTTTCATTTTTTCCTAGGAAATTGTAACATAAAGAACAATGATTTTTAAAACCTAGTTTCCCTTTTCAATTAAAATGGGAAAAATATTTTCCAGATGCCATAATATTCATAAGGTTCTGCCCAAAGTAGCTTCTGTCAGGCAAGAGCCTCACTGAGGACATTTCCTGAAGGACGAGCTGGGCCGCAAAGGACCTGGGTCAAGACTAGTTCCGGTTTGGCCCTTAGTAGCAGAAAAAGCAGGTTTGCTGAATCCCAGGAGTGCATGAGGCAGCTGCCTGGCAGGCAGCAGACCAGCCAGCAGCAGGCTGTGAAGACAGCCTGGGGATCACCAGTGCAGCCCCGCCACCCCAAGCATCTGCACAGGGATGGGGAAGTGCTGTGGAGAGCAGCAGGACTGCCACCATCTGACAGGAATACACGGAGGATCTCAGATAGATGGAGGCCTGAACTGCATAGTGAGACTGTATCTAAAAAAACCCAAAAAGGTGGGTTGGTGCTGTATCTCAGCTCAACATGCTGGGTGGGCACCCCAGAGGCACTGCAGCTAGCAACCAGAAGGGAAGAATGCTTGCTGTTGCCACCTTGAGAATACCTCAAGGATGGTCTTAAAAAGACACCAGCTATTGTGCCTTAAACTAAAGCTGTCGAAAAACAAGGGTAGCCAGCGAAGCAGCCACAGCTGAGAGGAACTGAAGGAAAAGTAGCTGGTGTAATCTGTTCTGGAAAAGGATAGTAGCCAAAATCTAAGAAACTGAATAAAATAAGTAATACATATGTATTGGGTCAGTGAATACAAGAAATATACCATCCTAACTGGGCATGGTACCACAGGCCTCTAATCCCAGCACTCAGAAAGGCTGAGCAGGAGGACTGCCATGATTTGAAGGCCATTTTGGGCTACATAGTGGGACCCTGTCTCAAAGTGGCACCCTAGCCTGCAATGCTTCATAATGGGAGACTAGATGTGTGGGGTATTTGGGAATTCTGCCTTCATCACTTTTGTAAACTTAAAACTATTTCAAAATACAGGATTTATTTTACAAATCGGAGAGGAAAAGGTAAAATATTTTTAGTTGCAATTATAGTATTGAATATTCAGAAAAATCTAAGAGAATCATCTGAAAAATTATTAACAGAAAAGTAAGCAAGTTCATGGGCGAAATACTATGTAAAACTGTTACATTATAAACAATTGGAAGATACAGTGGAAACAGACCTACATTATGAAATTGAATAGAAATGAATTCTTAAACATTCTCTGTGTATGAAATAAGATGTGAAATATAGGCAAAGACTTCCTGTTAGACACAATTGTAGGACCAGGCCTTAGAAAAGGCCTCAGTGTTCTTGGACAAGAAGGTTTGAGCCTTGATTATAAAAGCATCCACTCTTAGCCTAAGGTACAGCTCTGGGTTAGGGAGCTTTCTTAGCAGGCGCAAAGCCCAAGGTTGAATCCCTGACACACATGTATACACACAACTCAAAGATAAATGAAAATATACAAGTGAACCTTGCTCCACATCCTCATATTAAGTGAGGACTGGCCCCAGAGCCTTGCCCATATCAGGTGATCACCTTACCACTGAGCTGACACCCCAGACCTTTTTTGAATTTTGAGACGGGTTCCCTAAAGTGCCCAGGCTGGACTGGAACTTGTGATTCTTATGCTCAGCCTCCCACCTAGCTAGGATTACAGTAATGTAACAACATACCTGGTTGTGATCAGACTTTTTCTAAAAACAAGTGACACGTGTATTTGTTACATTAGCCTTGATTCTTTTTTTTTTTTTTTTTTTTTTTTTTTGTCTTTTTGAGACAGGGTCTCACTATGCAGTTCAGGCTGGCCTTGAGCTCACTTTGTAGCCCAGGCTGGTCTCGTACTCGCAATGATCTTCCTACCTGAGCTTCCCGAGTGCTGGGATTACAGGCGTGAGCCACCATGCCACATTAGCCTTGATTCTTCTTAATATATAACAATTTATATCCATACTATAGAAGATGGCAACATACAAAACAGCAGCTATATACTGCTGTGCACACATGTCCACGATATGATTAGTGCATTTAAAAATCCTGGAAGGATAAACCACAAACATCCATTTTATTTATTTAGTTACTTATCTGAAACAAGATCTTAGTATAGCCCAGGCTGGCTTTGAACTCAGTAATCCCCCTAACTCAGCCTCTGGAGTGTTGGGATTACAGGTATGTGCCAATTTGCCCAACTCAAACTACTTGATAGGTGTTTCTGCTTCATAGGTGTTTTGTTTAAGACAAGGGGTCTTGCTGAGTTACTCAGGATTGCCGCAAATCCCTGGTCTCAAGCTGTCCTTCCCACTTCAGCTTTTTGAATAGCTG